ATTAATCTTTATATGATATTATAGTCATGGAAGAGACTCGTATATAGAACGTTACATTTATACGAGTAGAATACATTAATATTAGGGAAATCGTTTCGATCTCTACAGATGCAGATGATATCCGCCTCATTGGAGCACCGTCTTATTTGTAAATCACAATCAGCATTTGATTTATGCAGATGGCCGATGTTCTAAAGGTTGCCCAGGCAAATGGATTGAATAACTCGAGTTACCGTCAACCCGTCAACCCGCGGCCATGCGATACCGCCATACCCATCCACGTCCACATTCCCACACCCAATCCCCGAGACCCGAGATCTAACAATGTTCTGAGAGATGCTCGCGACTCGAGTCTGGTGGGAGAAGCGAGAAGCGAGTGGGGGGCTGGTGCATGTGAGAATTGCCATAAATTAAATGGCCAGCACAATCTGTCAGTGATAAAGAGCACACGATGTTCTAGACAGAGCCACAGGCAGCTCCAATTGCTGGCCCCCTAACATGGAAGAAGATGCCGCTGCACTGAAAGAAATATCGTTGAACTTGGTACCATCAAAATTTTTAGTTGAGAGCTTATGCAGCTGAGTATAACTTATGGAACTTTAAATGAAAGGATACTCTTCTCTTTGTAACAAATATTGACCAAATTATCATATTTCGAGCTTCTATGCTGGATAATACTGCTCTAATACTTGGTAATTAGGAAACAATTTCTCTCAGTGCATATCTAATTCCAATTGTAGACAGGTCTAATTGCTAGCTCCTAAGATAGAAAATGAAGTGACTACACTGAGAGAAATACCTGTATCTGAAACCACTAATCCCCAATGTTGGTTGAACAAAAGGTTCTCAATGAGCGCCCCCAACAAAACTACTTTGGCCAGAAAAACGATTACAATTGTATGAAAATTATAAATGAATAAAACAATGGAACTGAAGAATTGAGTCCAACTCCATTTCAGAGTTTATCCATCAAGGCTGGACTTCTAAAGCATTACCAAGCGCTTTGTTGGCATCACAGGCTACGAAGATCGGGTTCTCATTTGGATGATTTTGCAGAGCTATCTCAAGTCCACCTGAAACGAATATAGAGTATGAATGTGCAATATTGTGCCGGAAATGCTAGCTACGCCCGCATAGCACTTGTCAATGCCAAAGATGTCTCAGAGGATGAATTCCCTTCGACTACGACTTCGATATACGACAACTAATGAGGGGCAATGGCGACTGCTATGGCAGTATTGCGAATGGTTACGTTTCACTTACGTTTCAGATATTTTTCAATACATATTATGCTAATTTCCTAGCAATTGCTTAATTTCCTCTTCCATCTGTTATCTATCATTGGATCTATCATTTTTATTTCTTTAATTTATTTAACTTTTTTGTAATTACGAATTTCTCAGACTTCTTCCAAAAATTTCTATAACTTGTTTGCATTTTCGCCCCCAAAATAGCTCTCAGTGTATGAACATTGTTGCAGTCTCCACCAGATGCAACTGGTTGCATGTTTGGATGCAACTAAGTGGCATCTTTTGGTCCATGTCGACTTCTATTGGCCATTTTCTCACCTGCGGCGCTTGGACGACCGACCAAAGGCGACCTCGACCTGTCTCAGGCAAAGGCAATGTGATATGTTCTAACTGTATGTACGAGAACGTACTGTACTGTCTGTACTGTATGTGTGTGTGTGTGCGCGCGAGAGGTTCCACTGTATTATTTATTGACATTCAGTGTGGCAATAGTTGTGGCATGTTTTTATGTCTCTATATTCGAAAATTGCATAGATTTGTATCAATTGATAGCGCAGAACAGAAACCAGAGACATAAGACCTGAGACCGGAGACCGGAGATCGGAGACCCGAGACCCGACAGAACCCGGCGGACTACGAGGAGTAGGAGAACTTGGTCAGCAATTGAAAGGCACAACATGCAATCGCGTTGTCTGCCAGCGGCTTTTGTCAAATTGAAGGTAGCTTCCATATAACATACAAATATCCACATATATAGCCACATATATACGTGTATACGAGTACTTACATAGGTAACATGGAGATCCGCAGTCCCCTTGGACCTGGGCCAGACCGAACCGAACCGAACCGATCCGACCAGGTCGGGGGCACCTTGACAAGCCTAAGCACGTCTTCGACTGGCAATTGGCCCGAGATGTTGGCTCAAAGATGCTGGCTGGAAGCTCACTTCGTGTGGCTTGGCTGATTGTTTTTTCTCGGCTCTCGGTTTCTACTTCTTGGATTCTACTTAGACCTCTGGTACTTGTGCAGCTCAAAGGTATATGCTATTTGTGTGAGTGTATGTAACAGATTGAAGAATCTATCATATATTTAGTGAAGGGTACTCGTACTTCCGATCTAACAAGTCCAATTATTTCTTTATCCTAGATATGCCTTTTATCTATCTAAAATAAAAAATAAAATCAAAAATATTCATTTAATTAAAATTAATATAAAATAAATCTATCACGATTAAGCAAAGGTTTATTATTTAAAATCAATGAAAATGCATTTCTTAAATATAAGTAAATCTTTTAGAAATGAGATAAAAAACCAAATAAATAAATACAAATCTGTACGAGCTGCAAGAACCCTGAGACCATGAAAAAAATGTATGATTGGTACCGCTATTTCTATGATCTTGTGATCAGACAAGCATCTCAATCAAAAGGAGAACAAATTCCCATTTATAGGCATTCTTTACGGAGAAAACCCAGGTATCCCCATAGTCGTTATTTTGTCGTACAATAAATAACCATTGAAGCTTCGTTCCTATTCTTTTATTGTATTTTTTTCATTGAATTTTTTTGGCTATTCAGAATGCGCGGAATTAATTAAACGGCTTAAATAAGATGTACTAACAATTTGTTGCTAATGTGCCAATCATTCGCTTCTCCCCCAACGACTGCACCAAAAAGTTCATCCGAAGAACTAGGGAGTGTGCATCTTTGCAAATTAACTTTTGCATCACCAGCATCATCATCATCATGATCAGAAGCAGCAGTGCAGCAGCAGTGCAACATCATCGACAAGTCCCCAAAGTCGTGCATGAAAACATCTCCGAAGAATCATACAAATGCATTTGGATCTGCCCCAAACAGCATCAGAGAGCATCAACAGGCAACAAAAAGAAACGAAAATATTGTAATTTTAATATTAAATTAATGTTGGCAACTCTTAGTGGCAGTTGTTAGTGTTGCTGTTGCTGTTGCTGCTGCTGCTGCTGTGTTGCCTGCCTGCCGCTGTTGTTGCAGCATGTGGCGTGCCACAAAATAATTTGGCGAATACAAAACAAAGTGGGTCGTTCACTGCATGGGCTGTGGGTGTCTCATAAACATTTATTTCTTTCTTGATTTTTGAGCAGGGCAATAAATGTTAACCGAAAATTAAAGAAATTAAGAGATTTTTTTGTAACCTGTTGGGAGATCTGGTAACAAGCTAAGTTTTACTGAAACTGAAAGTAGTAGGTTTCTACTATGGAAGGAATAAGGAAAGTTCCCAGAACTGGAATTGGAAAAAAAATTTACGTAGGTTATTCCTGAAAAATATCGACCAAAAATGTTCACAGATACTTTTAAATAAAAGAAAATATTATTATAGATCATATATGTAATTATGTTACATGTATGCCAATGGGGCAAGCCACCAAGGGAGAGATCATGTGTCCACCCCCGGCTCACTCGCTTGTCAAATATGGGACGACCACGTGATTCAAATATAATGGAGATATAAAAATATGCCATCAAGCACACATAATCCCTGGATTATAATATTCCTTAATATTCTTGAGTGGATCTACAAATAATAACACTTTAAGGGCACCCAAGGCAGGCTTTAAATAATAAGGTCAATCAAAAAATGCCAAAAATGGAAAGTATTCCCTTTTTATTTGTAGCGAATGAGGCAGGAATCTCCCTTAGGCTGATTAATAATGGCCAAATTATAAAACCAAAACCGATTAGGCTAAAGATGTATGACCAAAACCATTTATACCTCTCCCTACATGCTTTTAGTGCACTTTTCCTGGAGGCCTTTTACTGCCTTTCTACTCATCGCGAAGAAAAAAACATCGTAGCAAGCGAGATTCCCGCCCCTTTTGGAGGTTCTTCTCGAGCGTTAAGCGACACTAAAAGTTCATCCATTTGAGAGGTGTGTGCTAAGCGATAGCAAAAGCCATTTCCCATAATCGCAAGGCCCCCAAACAACAACAACAACGACAACAACAACAACACGAACGAACGACAACACGAATTTCTATGGGCATCGGAGGGGTAACAATTTTAAGGCTTGTCTCTTATGAAATAGCAGCAGAGATTTTTAAATAATTCACAGGCGTGATTGGACACGCTTCGAGTATACAATCTATCTATCTAGGAGCGGACAGAAAAAAACCCTCCCTATGAAGAGGGGATAGAAAACATTCGCCGCTTAATTTGCTCTTCTCATGCAAACTCTCCGCGGATCGAATGATGGCTGGAGAAGATGGTCGATGGCCCCAAATGTCAACGATTTGGACCAGTTAAAGTACACTAATTAGTCAGCTACTCGTACTCGCTGTTGAACATGGCAGACACCTGAACATGTCAAGGCATTGGTGCTCCATCCCCCCACCCCCAACCCCTAAGATCAGAGAGTCAAAGCGATTGCTGCCGACAACCATTTAAGGAGCAAGTCGAGGTCAGAGCCAGAGCCAGAGACGGCCACCAACAATGTGGAAGCACGCAAACCAGAGCCAGAGCCAGCGCCAGCACAGAGAGGAGAGAGATTGGATCGATGACTAACCAACGGACTGAACTGAACTGGACTGGACTGGCCACAGGTGAGTATTGGTAGCATGATATAGCCAACTGGTCTATGCTTCCTGCTGCTAACACAGACATCATCACAGCAAAAGTTCAACAATTGAATGCGAAATTTATTGCCAGCGATCTCTGAATCGAATCGAATCGAATTGAATCGCGGATTCCACAACCAGACCAAATATCGTTGGGGTATTGTTTTAATACAATTTTGGATTTCTATTTAATATTATTAAATGCCCAAGTGCCGCAGCACACGCTTGTCCCAACAATTATCCCATTGCTAATGGTGTATTGTGTGTACGATCATAAATATTGAGCACAGCACTTCCTTGTGGATCGACTGGATCATGACTAAGAGCGGAGGGATCCCATTGTCTCTTGCAAACCGATTGTTTCTATTCATGGACAAAGTTAAGCTTTACATTGTTCAAGGGCGCCAGATACTCGATGGACTGGAAGCGAAAAAAAGATGACAATATTTATGAAAAATCAGTGATGATCACACTACCCACCGTGAGCAGACTCTCCTTGATCTTAGTGCCCAGCACATTGATCACCAAATGGCGACGTGGTGAGGGCTTGGTCAGACAACCGATGGCATTGAGTACAAAATCATTGGTGATCTGGCTGCAATCCTTCAGGTCGATCAGCTTCAGTTGTCCGCACTTTCTCAGCAGACGCATCATACCCACGTCGGTGACGCGACCGCAGAAGGACATGCCAAAGGACTCGAGCACACTAAGATCGTTGAAGAACTTGAAATGATCATCCTCCAGGACGTCATTGCTGCTCCAGCGCAGCTCCTGCAGCGATTGAAGTTGTCCCAGGACCCGGGCATGCTCATTGCTGATCTCAAACTGGCCGGACAAATGCAGATGAGTGAGATTGCTGCCCAGTTTTTTCTCGGCCAGCGTGGCCAGGAATCCGATGTTTAACTCATTGGAGCTCCCCCAGGTCTTGAGCGTGCAACGCTTTAGCTTTGGCAGTTGGGCAATCACCTCAAAGTGGGTGTCACAGCCGGAGAAATGGAGCTCCTCGAGGTTCACACAACACTCGGCTATCTTACCGTACAGGCTATCGTTCATCACCTCAAAGCTGCAGTCATCCAGGTTCAGGAGACGCAATGTCCTTAACGGTATGCCAAATGCCCAATAGTTCCAGAGCAAACAGTTACGCAGTATCAGCGTATGGAGCTTGGGGAAACCGCACAGATGTTCGCCTGGTGGCAAAACTTAAGTTAACAAACAACACAATCATAGCAAAGAAATCCCCCCACCCGTATAACAGCCATTGATCAGCTCAAAGTACTCCAGACCCTGATTGGGCTCTAAATCGAAGCTAAGCACATCCTCCGCATCCAAACAGTTGACGGTGATCCGCTTCAGGTGCTTCATCCGTGACATGATTGTCCGAAAGTGGAAGTCGTCGGTGACATTTGTATAGTAGATCTCCTCGAGATTAAAGCAATACTCTGCTATAAATTCCACCACCAGGGACTCCTTTTCGTACCAGTCACAGTTTACATGCAGCACTTTGATGAACGGCCCCGCCCACATAAAGAAATTGATCATCTCTGGGAGCTTCATCGTCTCCAAATCCTCTACATCGAGTATTTGTCTCTGTTTGCGGGCCCACATTCGGAAGGCCTCACCGAGCTTGGGCGCCGTACAGGCCAGACGCACCCTATCCGTCAGATCGATCAGATAATCGTACAACCGCAACATAATGTCCTGGTTTAAGTCCAATATGTGGGTCGAGCATCGGTACACAGACCGAAGTGGTGCGAGGCCGAAGTGTAATTCAACATCACCCATTTTGCCAAATGGCTTTATAACTTAAATTTTGATTCTTGGTACATTTTTGACACATACAATTTTGTATAGTATCTCAGGGGTGCTCTGATATCTCAGGGGTATTTTGTTCATATTATGTCGTGTAGGGATCCGGAAGGTGATGTGAATAAATCAGGTTTTAAATGGATAATCATCGCTATACCAATTTATGTTGTTTCTTAGATTCAATCGACAGACTGAGGAAGATTACGAGCATATGGAATTGATTTAAAAATGTGTATTAATAGATTTGAGTCGATTTATTTTATTTAAGATTAAGTATATTTCCTATAAATATATTAAATATTAGATGTATTTTTTAAGTGTTTTTATTTATATTTAATAAGGGCCGTATACCTTTAAATACATTTAAATTTAAATCAAAGTGAATTCTTTTTTATTTGTATAGCCTAAAAGTCAGCCCAAAACACTCTACAATTATCGGGTATAGAAGTGTAGTGTTTCCCTTGATTGGCCTTGCACTTCCTATGGCTGACAGTGACCGCTAGCAGTGTGCGTCCGACCGTCCAGTGTCCGTCCAGCTGTGTGGCAATTTTTCGCATTCCTCCATAAACAAGTTTTTCTTTTTGTTTGACAACAATTAATTGCATAATTGCGTGAATAAATGCATAAATCAATTGCAATGATTGAGAAGTCGCTATTGTTGTGTGTCACACACAGAATATAATATGTATTTATATATCATAGAGACAGAGTTAGAGATATGTAATGTTGCAGTACGCCTCCTCATATATATTTATTTATTTTACCGGATATGTTTGAGGAATTAATTTTTTTCGGTTTGTTACTTTCCTCTATCGGGAATGTTTGTTGTTGGTTTTAATGCTTTGTTTAAAGCTGAATTAAACGCGCCTTACAGCTAATAGCAATGCTCTACAATTAAAGCTAATATTGATATTCCATCTGGGAAATGGTTATGGGACCCGTAAGTATCTGTAAATATGGCAATTATCCTCTGACACTGCTGATCGAATTCAAATCAAGGCAATGATTCTTTGTTCTTAATTTGAGGTCGACTGAAATACAACTTAAGGAAATGGAATCAGGAATCCATTGTTTCTATAATGTTCTTTTAGTTCTGTTATACTATTTTAATGTGTTCATAGATTATTTGTTGGTATATTCAAAAAAAAGCATACAATTGCAACTAGCAGGTATTGTGCATAATTGTTGGTTCTTCGATAATAATGGAGTTTATACGTTTTGCTTCTATATTGTTATGGGTTGATGCGTTCTTCTATATTTTTGTATATCTTATATGTGTATGTAGTTGGTTCTCGTGTCATAGATATTATAAATATGTCTTCATGGGTTCACATACATATATAAACTGTTTAAACTATACACGTCGCTTTAGGAAAATTAGGAATTGTAATATATTCTTAAAACATCTAAATGACATAAGTTTAGGCTTTACATCTTATGGAACTCTTATACCAAACTAGAGATACAAATCAAAAGCGATACAGCTGGAAACCCCTTAGGGTACTAATAAACTACCGTAATAACTGCCAACTGTCCTCCTACAACTTAAGGACACATTTCATACCAATATTTAAGTATTATTTAAAGTAAAACTACACCTGTTTCGTACTGCCTTTTTCTTTACAGCTCCTGCTATATTTATGTAGTAGAGTTCCCTAAATCCAATGTGTTAGTTGCATGGTGCCATCATTAGTTCGCTGTGTATCCATGATGCTCATCTGACGCACCAAGCGCTTCATAGACGGCCGATGAACAGGTCGACCACTTCCACTGGCCATGCCCTCCAATGGCGTGAGCTCATCAATAGAGCTCATGGGCGCCTGCTGGCGGACGCGACGATTGTCGCGCAACTCCAGCTCCACCTCCGCCTCGGAGGCAGTGTTGGATGAACCACCCAAAACATCCAGATTCTCATACGATGTGGGTTGGGAGAGCACAGTCCTTAATAGGTTATTCAAATAAGGTTAGTTTCAATATTAGCTTAGACTCTTTTTTTTCTAACACTCACTGTTTTTGAGCGCATCTACAGCAATCCTTGAGCTGCCAGTCCTTGCCGAACTCTTCGCCCTCCTCAATGGTCTGCGGCAGACGATGATGCAGGGTCTCCGGCAATCGAAGACCCGTCATTCCGCCCAGCATGGAAACAAAACCCATGATAACCAGCGGCAACTTGAGGTTCTCCTTGCCCAGATATGTCACAAAGGGTATGACAATCAGACCCAATCCTCCAATATAACTGGAAGCTCCAATGCCTATGCCACGCACTTGTGTCGGATACAGTTCGCCAGCAAATGGATAGATGATTAGAAAGGAGGCCGAGAGCAAGGCCTTGGATACCAAATACAGATATAGAGTCTCATCGACAGCCTCATCGGGCAACATCACCGTTATCACGCATGCCACACCCCTGGAAAGGGAACCAATATAAGTAGCTACGGTTAAAAATGTCCCTACACATCCAGTCTTACCCCAATATCATGGACAAACTGAGAGGCCAACGTCTGCCCCAGGTGTCCATAAAGTACCAACAGCAGAGATAGCTAGGCAGCTCCACCACAGCCGACAGAAAGAAGCTCACATACTGATTGGTGCCCAGCGAGGGACCGTAGTAGCTGAGGCCCAGATAGACCGTCTCATTGGCAAACCAACTCAACGTAATCAGTATCGTTTTCAGCCGCATATTGGGCGTACGACAGAGATCTCTCAGACCCACATTAGCCACCTTTTTCTTCTCTTTCTTGAGCTTGTCGCGGCGGATTTGTGCCTCCAGCTTGCTGTGCACTGCCTCCGGAAACTGTCGTCCATTCACTCTGGCCATGCGCTCCAGTATCGTGAGGGCCTCTTCCAGGCGCCCGCGCATTAGAAGCCAACGGGGTGATTCCGGCATCACAAACATATAGAGGAAATAGGCATAGAAAGGCAGCGAGGTGATGTAAGAGAGGCGCACCCAATCCCGCTCCAGATAGGTGACAACGGAGAGCAGCATAATACCCGAGGTGTAAAAGGTGCAGGTCATAACAGTTACAAAGGAACGATAGTTCTCGCCCACCAACTCCAGAGCTGAAAGATAAGTCAACTGTTAGCTAAAATAAAGCTGAGTATTCCTGCACTTACATATGATGAAAGGTATCTGATAGACAGCCGGTATAGTCAGGCCCACAATGACGCGACTGCCAGCCCAAGTCCAGAAGTCCTTGCTCAGCGAAGTCATCAAACTACCCGCCAGCAAAGTGGCCAGGCAGGTGAAGTACGAAAGTCTCCTTCCAGCGCGATCATTAAGCAATCCAAAGAGATACACCCCCACGGGTCCACCAGTATTGAGTGCCGCCAAGCCAATGGTTGGATATATATCCTGATCGCACACTAAATCAAACTGTCGATAAACTGTCGGTTAGCATGGGTTAACTGATGGTTTAGGTGTGGTATCGTGCTTGGGAAATGTTTTCAAGCTTATTCCTAAATGAATTTTAATGTGGGTTCAGTCTGGATCTGTGCTCGCACATCAATCACAATGGAGGACCACACATTTGTGGTATTATATTCCCAGCCCTGACTGCACTTAACCACCGGCCAGGTGCTGTTTGGCTCCAGTGTGGTCAGGTCATTCTCATCTTCCAATGATTCGAGCAGTTGCGTCCAATTGACTCCGTACGTATGGCATTTGCTGTAGACCAGTTCATCGTTTTCCTTGAAAGAACAAGAATAAAGTCAGAAATGTATTCTTCTGGCGGTTAAACACATTTGCACAAAACTATTACATCCCTTAACTCTTCGAGTATCGTGTATAATTAATGTTTGCCTTTTTTGTCGGAACTTGAACCGAATGACCAACACACACTCGTTTCTGACGTTTAAAATTTGTGGGAAATATACCCTCACGTTTGCCCTATTTCATCATATCTATTATAACCTTGATTACTCATCGAACCACCCTCGTATCGACATTTTGTCACCCGACAAACGCATAATCAATGAGAGCTCAGCTCTGGGCTTGATTGCCAGACCTTTAGCACTCATATGGCTGCTCCACTCACTCACCAGTTCCTTGGGTATGGCCAGATATTTACGTTGCTCCAGCTGCATGTCCAGCAGTTCGGGTATGCGACACCAATAGTCATCCGGAGTATCAGCCATAAACAGCTGATTGAAGGCACAAAAGCCGCAAGGAATGCAGGCGGGCAGGCAAATGCCAAAGACCAGAAGCTTTTGATACTTGCCAAATTCCCCAATGGTCGGCAGCAAATCATCCAAATCGAAGGCCTCCTGGAAGTACCAAAAAAAGCCGAATAAGTCGCGTTTAGAATTGGAGTTTTGGAATATATGATACGAACATCCACTGAGGGTTGGGTTTGGGGCTTCTGGCGTTGTCGCAGCTCCGATAACTCATCGTATTCATCCACATCGCTGTCCACAGTCTCTGACATGGCCAAACTCTGAGCTGGAAATGTCTATTCGCACACTGAGTGGGCGCTCGAGAGCTTGCAGAAGCCATAGAACGGGGTACGGTTCTGTTCTGACACTTCTCAAGGGTTGAACAAATAGCAAAACAAAAAAGAGAGAGTGCGCGAGCTTGGGTTCCATTTTATATGTTATATATTTTGTTTAATCTTTAGTCGCAAGTTTTAAATTTAAATAGTTTAAATTAAAGTATTTTTAAATATTACACACTTGAATTCAATCCTTGCTCGAATTATAGATAAGACGAGCCACTAATTACAGTTGTTAGGCTTTGATATTACAGAATAGAAATCGTTATAGAAAGGTGGATTCAAGTACTTTCTTACAGTAGCACTTTCCTCTGTAAAAGTACGAAATATCTGGCTCTAAATTGAATACGGTTTTTGGAATCGATCGTTTGGGGGATATTGGACATGGCTAAACTTTAGATTCAGAGAAGGTGTGAAAACTATACAACAAATGTGGGGATTCCATCACTTACATCATCGGTTTTTTACTTAAAGATTATTGCGCGCTTCGTTCCACTCTACGGGATTGGTTTTTTAGCCTGATACACAAGTACATGTGTACATGGATCGATCATAAATATAATAAACAGAAAACTGTCGCGTGCAGCAAGTAGGCGCACAGCGCAGAAATCACACACACACGCACATACATTAGGCTTAAGTGTAAATTTGTGGCTACTCAATACAAAAATACATTTGCACACAATTCTCATCATCATCCTCACTGTCATCCACATGCATTTAATTTAATCCACCTTGACCACGCTGTAGATCTTCCGTATGAACCAGAAGCACGCAAAGAAACCAATTGTGCCGGTAAGCAAAAAGAACAGGAATACCATAATGGCCGTATAGCCAAAGTACAGGAACGTCGAGGCACTATCCTTGATCGAGAGCTTCGTGATGAAGTAGTGACAGCAGTAGATGAACAGATAGACAGCCGTGAAACCCGATGTGAGAAAGGAGCGCCACCACCAATGATAATCCTCGGCACATAGATGGAAATAGCACAGCAAAATGGTTGTCTCCGAGCACGTGATGACCAGTATAAGAAAGACCAGGAAAAGGAAACCAAACATATAGTACATCTGACTGGACCACAGTGAGCTCAGTATGAAGAAGAGCTGTATGAAAATGCAGCCAAAAGGCAGCACGCCGCCCATAACGATGCCGGGTATCGGTTGTGTGTAAATCGATTGATCGGGTATCTGTCGTGGTATCTGATTGGTGCGCACCGGATGCTCCAAAGCCTACAAAATACATTCAGAAATTAAGAATCAAAGTTTACGGTGTCTAATGAGATACTTACGCGTTTGCGGAAACCGAAATAGGCACCAACAAATGTCAGTGGCACTGAGACGCCAAACCAGAGGGCTAGCAGGGCAACCAATGTGCTAAATGGCACAGCACCCGAGCTATTCTCAAACCATAGCACCAGATTCATCACAAAGAACAGAGAGAAGACAACACTGTATGGAATATAGCAGATAAATAAGCAAAGGCATTACAAAATATCAGCCACTACTCACCCGGGACACACAATCGAGGTTAGAATCACATTACTCTTCCACTTGAGACCGCCAAAACTCTTGTAAATGCGCGCCGAGACATAACCAGCGGGTGTGCCCAACGAAACGAACAAAACCATCGAGCAGGTCATCAAAGCACCACGATTGGCCGGCGACAAGAAGCCCAGACAGGCAAAGGCCAATGTAATCATAGACATAACGAGCACCTGAATGCCAGAGCCCAGGAATACAGACAGAAGCATGCCCTTGCGTGGCGGCCTAAAGACATCGCCATGGACCAACTTCCAGCCGAACTCCTCTTGGGCATCCTCGCCGCTGTCCATCTGATTGTATCTGGCTATGTCCTTGTGCAGAGTGCGCAGCATTATCATTGCCACCATACCGCTCAAGAAGAGCACAATCACCAGGGAATTAAGGATGGAGAACCACTGGATATTCGTATGGGGCATGGACTCTAGAATGTAATCCCAGCGTGACGACCACTTAATGGCATCGTTCTTCACAAACTTGACGCTGTACGTGTACACAATGTTCAGCTGCTCGCCGGTCTTCAGTGAGGTTTCGCTTATGGCCAGCGGCTCGGTGCTCAGGCAGTTCGGAGCCTTCGGATCGGTGTGCTTGATCGATTTGGGTGTGACCTTTACGGAAATGATACGTCCACTGTTGCCAAAACCAATGCCCCAGTCCTCGAGTTGCCCACTGTGATAGGTGATCTCCAGATCCACATGATTGAAGGGATAGTAGTGCATGGGCTGATTGTAAATAGAGTTGATGGGACAGCCCTCGCCATCGGTGCGCACGAGGCAGCCCATGGGGAACCCAGTGCCACAGTATTGTTTGCCATTCTCCAACGGATAGCACCAGGTCACCGGCATATTGTCCACAATCCAATGATGTTGATAGTTCAGGCTGATGCCTTTCTTCAGGACCATCATGCGACGATTGCTGATGGGATCACCACCCTTGTACTCCTTGGTGCAGGCCTACAGTTTACACAGAAATCCTAGAGTTATCTTTGCCTTCGAGATTTACGTGTCCTGTCTACTTACCACAGAACATTGCTGATTCTCCAGGAACTGGATTTTATAGGGACCCGGGCGTATTCGCTCGCCAAAGACCACCTGTCCCAGATTCTCGACGGGGGAGTTCTCCTCTTTGCCCAGACAGAAATCAAAATGATGATATTCATAGGGTATGACCGATTCCTCAGTATTTAGGCGATTAACATACAAGATTACATCCGACTGGAAGGAGAGTGTTATAAAAAATATAAATAATACATCAATCAAGAATGTGTCCATGCGGCAATTGATGAATTTACGAGAGTTTCTATTGAATGTTATCTGGGCTCTACTTTTATCTGTAGTCTATTGTTTGAAAGCGTACAAATGTGTGGCATACGATTATCAAGAACATAAGGCAGTACAAATAAGGTCTAGATCATCATAATGATATCTTTGAGCAACTGAGCCAACAAGACGGGTTTGATATTAGAGCAAAAGCAACGTCAATCGTAGGAGTCGACGTCAGCAGTATCCAGCGGACACCCGCAATGTTGGGACCTTATCAGAGTGCTTCCGCCGTTTCCACTACTACTACCATTGGTTGTATATTTATCAGCATTGCACTGCCCTTTCGCTAATTGTTAAGGCATGAATTAGAAACAGAAACACAAAAACACACAACCCACACACATACACACACAGCAGCGACACGGACACAGAGAGGGGTATGAGTATGCATATGTGTACATACCTTGCATGTCGTGGACACTTCGATTGTCTTACAAAAGTTAACCGGTGCCAGGCCGGGCAAATAGAAGGCGCCTCCAAGGGTCAACGTGTGCAGCAGCAGGAACAACAGAGCCAGGCCCCGTGGCGGACTAGAATGCAGGATCATCTTTGATGTGCGGCGAATGATTCGAGAGAATTGCTTTGCCAATTTATGCAGTGTCGTGGCTGGTTAAAACACGTTGCACACTCACAGAGGGGGCAAGTGCAGCAACTGTTTTGCGTTTATTGCTGTGTGTTTTTCGAAATATTTCCAAATAATATTAACTTTTCCACTACGTTTCTTTTTAGGTCCGAACGTCAGCAATGACTATCGATGATGATATCGATAACATGACAAATATACCAAAACATACCTACTTATTTTACAAATATACCGTATATATACTGACGGGTTATTCAAGTTCCTTCCTATTCCTCGTTTTCCGCCGAATATTACTAGCTCGCAATGACCCTCAGCTCTCAACTCATAATTTTATCCGATTATCAAATCGGTTTTCTACAAGACTGGTTAAATGTAAGTTTTCATCTTTATGGCATTGCGTATAAAATAAGGTTTGAGTAAAACCGGTCAACAAAAATGTCCACTAAATTTACTACATATTAACTACATTTTCATGTAATTAATAACGGCGACACCTGAAGGGTGTCACAAATATACCAAAATATACCGTAAATACACTGACGAACTCAATTTCTATTAGAACTAGTGGATTTAACATCATGATTTAGCATCAGTGTGTCGAAATAACTTTTCGTATAAATATTTTGGCTAGCATTTATGTTGTATTGAGTTTTTATTCTTCGTCGGTCCAAATTCAAATACAACTGCCAGCGTGTGAATAGCGTTTAGAGTTGCCATCTATTGCGAGGCTTCCATGTGTGTGGCGATTACTCAGAACCGGCCTGTTTCGCTTTCAATTCGTTTTAAGGCAGCCAAAAAAAGAGCCATCTAACCATATTAATCCCCAACTTGACCGTTCACTTAAATACAATCCTAAGTAAGTGGATATAATCACTGGCTTGCATCCGCGCGTTTTCTGACAGGTGGGGAAGGTTGCAGAAGAGACAAAGGTGAATCGCGCAAAGCAACAGAAAAAAGTGAGTTTTTACTGCGTGTGTGCGTTTGTTTCGTGTAGAGCTGAAAGCGAAAAAATCAATTCGCTGACGTTCAAGGTGTTTGTGCAACCTTCCCCCGTCTAGTGTTCCAGCTACTCGAATGGTTTTATTAATTCGCTATTTTATCCGTTTTATAGTTGCTCTCGGACAATTGTCAAAAATTACGCAAAATTCCCACACATACACCCATACCTGACATCCCCCGCCCGACCCGACCGATTGCCTGGCCTCTCTAGACGTCTGCACGAAATAGAAAGTAATAAAGAAACAAAAAAAGAACGCAAAATGACTTCCGATATAACGCTGCAGTTGATTGCTATTTTGGAGAAGACAGTGTCGCCAGGTGAGTGCACCCCCTTCCAATCACAATCCCTTTGGGCATAAATTTTCCATGGCCATTTTTTTTGGTCGTTTGGCGGGAGGGACGCGCGCCGCGCGTTGTATGTTGCGCAGGGTTGCAACGCGGGTCGCGATAGCATATGTTTCGTTGCTAGGTGCACACGCATACCCACACAAACACAGCCATTTATGAATGTATATATCTGGATATGTGTGTGTGCAATGATTAAGGATTTATAAACTGCCACGAACCTAACCTCAAACAGGGATAGGGAATGCAGATCCTACAAAGAGTCGGACCCCTGCCCAAGCCACCAAGAAAAGGTTTCGCTGAGTGTATCTCATACATACACACATGCATGTGGGTATTGGGTGGGGGGAACAATTTTTTTTTCCTACTCTACTACCCCGATAAGTCCCACAACCAGTTCTTCCGGTTGGTGATAAAAACAAAATGCTCTGCGCGAAGCCCCAGTACCCATTGTAAGACCCCGAACTAAGCTATAAATAAATGCATTGCCCTTATTTATGTAGACAAAAATGAACTCTTGTCGGCAAAGAACTTCTTGGAACAGGCAGCCGCCAGCAATCTGCCGGAGTTCCTTAAGGCACTGTCGGAGATTTTGGTCAATACGACAAACAGCGCCGTGGCACGCATGGCCGCTGGTCTTCAGCTCAAAAATCACTTGACCAGCAAAGATGAGAATGTGCGGCAACAGCATCAGGAGCGTTGGCATCAGTTCCCCACCGAGATCCGGGAACTGATCAAGAATAATGTGAGTAGAGGAAATGATCGCCAATCAACAAATTTTAAAAATTCTTTATCTATAGATTCTTAATGCCTTGGGTACTGAGAATACGCGTCCCTCTTGTGCCGCGCAGTGCGTGGCCTATGTGGCTGTCATAGAGCTGCCCATCAATCGCTGGGGCATGGTCATCCAGACCCTGGTCAACAAGGTGGTCAGCGAAGGATCGAGCGAAATGCATCGCGAGTCTGCCCTTGAGGCCATTGGCTACATTTGCCAGGACATACGCTTTGGCGTGATGGAGAATCAATCGAATCAGGTGCTCACAGCCATTATTCATGGCATGCGCAAGGTCGAGCCAAGCAACCATGTCCGTCTGGCCGCCACCACGGCTCTTCACAACTCGCTCGAGTTCACCAAGGCCAATTTTGAGAAGGATATGGAGCGCAACTTCATCATGGAGGTGGTCTGCGAGGCCACCCAGTCCACGGACACTCAGATCTGTGTGGCCGCCCTTCAGTGTCTGGTGAAGATTATGACACTGTACTATCAGTTCATGGAGCCCTATATGGCCCAGGCCCTCTTCCCCATAACGCTGGAGGCCATGAAGTCGGAGAATGATGCCGTTGCCCTTCAGGGCATTGAGTTCTGGTCGAACGTCTGCGATGAGGAGATCGATCTGGCCATCGAGAGCCAGGAGGCCACCGATCAGGGTCGTGCCCCAGCGCGTGTGTCCAAGCATTATGCACGCGGTGCTCTGCAGTTCCTTACGCCTGTACTGGTCGACAAGCTAACCAAACAGGATGAGTGCGATGATGAGGATACCTGGAGTCCGGCCAAGGCTTCGTCGGTGTGCCTCATAGTGCTGGCCACTTGTTGCGAGGACGAAATAGTGCCCCATGTGTTGCCGTTCATCCAGGAGAACATTGAATCGCAGAACTGGCGATTCAGAGATGCCGCCGTCATGACCTTTGGCTCTGTTCTCAGTGGGCTGGAGACCAATACGCTGAAGCCTTTGGTGGAGCAGGCCATGCCCACGCTGATACGTTTGATGTATGATTCGAGTGTCATTGTGCGTGATACCACAGCCTGGACTTTTGGACGCATTTGCGATGTAAGTTCTTGGCTCCTTGGCCCCTCCTCCAATTCCGTTTTGCCACTAAATTTTCGACTTTATCTCTCTTCTGAAGATCATTCCAGAGGCTGCCATCGACAAGACCTATCTACAGCCGCTGCTCGAGTGCTTTGTAAAGAGCTTGAAGTCGGAGCCTCGTGTGGCCGCCAATGTTTGCTGGGCATTCATTGGCCTCTCCGATGCCGCCTACGATGCGGCCTCCACCGGAGAGCGCGAGCGCGAGACACCCGAGACGTACGCGCTGTCGCCGTACTTTGAGTTTATTATCACACAGCTGCTGGAGACCACCGATCGTTCGGATGGGGCCCAAGCCAATCTGCGTGGAGCTGCCTATGAGGCTCTCATGGATATGATCAAGAATTCGCCCCTCGATTGCTATCTGGTGGTGCAGCGCACTACCATTGTGATCCTGGAGCGTTTGAACCAAGTCATGCAGATGGAGTCGCACATCAGCAATCACAGCGATCGCCATCAGTTTAACGATCTGCAGTCGCTGCTCTGCGCCACGCTGCAGAGTGTCCTGCGAAAGGTGCACGAAGAGGATGCCCCACAGATATCCGATGCCATCATGAATGCCCTGTTCATGATGTTCCAGTCAAGTGCTGGCAAATCGGGAGGTGTGCAGGAGGATGCCTACCTAGCCGTGTCTACACTGGTGGAGCTTTTGGGCGTACAGTTTATGAAGTACATGCCGGCCTTCAAGGATGTCCTAATCATGGGCCTCAAGAACCATCAGGAGTATCAGGTATGCTGTGCCACTGTCGGCCTCACCGGCGATATTTGCCGCGCCCTCAAGGAGCAGATGGTCCCTTATTGCGATGAGATTATGTCCGTAATGATGACCAATCTGGCGGAGCCCACGCTGCATCGCACTGTCAAGCCGCAGATACTCACGGTCTTTGGCGATATGGCTCTCAGTATTGGAAGCCATTTCCTGAAGTATCTGAACGTGGTGTTGGAAATGCTGCGTGCCGCTTCCAATCTTCAGGTGAGAATTCATCGCCAGACTTAGTTGCGAGTAGATGTAAACAGATATATATTTAAAGACGGATGCCAGCAACTTTGACATGAACGAGTACATTGCCCACCTGCGCGAGAGTGTTCTCGAGGCATATACGGGCATCATTCAGGGCCTCAAGGGTCTCGATCAGACAGCCCATCCCGATGTGATGCACATGGAGCCGCATCTGATGCACATTATTGGCTTCATCAAGCGCATTGCCCAGGATGGCGAAGTATCCGACTCGATGATGGCCAGTGCTGCTGGTTTCATTGGCGATCTGTGCACTTCCTTCGGACCCCGTCTTCACACGCTGTTGGACGATGTCGTAATCACACAATTCCTGTCCGAGGGCAAGCGCTCCAAGGGTCAGCGCACGAAAATGTTGTGCTCGTGGGCCCTCAAGGAGATCAAGAAGATCAATAGCCAGGTCATCACACAGTGAACGTCTAACTAGAGGTTAATGTTTCCAACAATACCCACCATACAAGAATGAACTGGTAAGTAGATTCTGATCCGAATTCTCATCATTCACACATCATCCACACTCCGATGGACGACACACACATATACACACACACACACCGAAAAATGATTCAAACATTTTTTAATTTGGCTTAAATTTCAGTCCAGTCCGAATAAATCTCTTCTTAACTACTAAGTTTTGTTTGTCCGATCTACAATGTATATATTGTTGCTGTGCAACGTGTAAATGCTAAGACACATTGTTTATAAAACTAAATTAATTTTAAGTTGAAAGAATGGCCCGGCCCCCTCCGCCCTCCCAACCTAAATAGTGATTACAATTTTGTTAACCTACCAAACAGATTGCCCATTGACTTATTATTATTATTATCTATTATTGTGGCCGAAAGCAAATTATGACAAATCTTTTGGGCATTCTGTTTGGAATGGCCCCCG